TTGCATTAGGTGGCCAAAGTATCTGAGCTTGAGCTTCAGTATCAATCTTTCCAATGAGCAGCCAGGGTTGATTTCCTTTAGGACTGACTGGTTTGACCTTCTGGCAGTCCAAGGGACTCTTAAGAATCTTCTCCAGCACCACAATTCAAAGGCATCAGTTCTTTGGTGCTCAGCCTTCCTTATGGTCCAGCTCACACAGCCATACATTGCTACTGGAAAAATCAGAGCTCTGATTATGCGGATCTTTGTCCGCAAGGTGATGTCTCTGCTTTTTAATATGCTGTCTAGGTTTGCCATAGCTTTCCTCCCAAGGAGCAAACGTCTTTTAATTTTATGGCTACAGTCTCTGTCTGCGGTGATCTTGGAGCCCAAATAAATAAAAACTGTTATTGTTTTCATTTCTACCCCTTCTATTTGCCAGGAAAAGCTATCTTAGTTAGGATCTACTGCAATTATCAAAATGAATATACTACCCAAGATAACCATTTACTTCAAATGGCACCAATCAGAATTTTGGAGAGAATTTTACAAGAATGGCAAGAAACTGTCAGTAAATTCATATGGAGTAGGAAAACATCTAGAATCAAACAAAAAATCCTACAAGACTGCAAAGAGAGAGGAGGCCTTGCCCTTCCAAATTTTAAACTGCATCATAAAGTAAGCTGCCTGTCATGGATAACAGAGTGAATAAAATTTCTGAATAGCAGAATGGCAATTCTTAGCCAATGGACTTCATAGATACTTATGGTACAGAGATACAAAGGGGGATAAAAACTTAAAAGGATATATTATTAGACAAAGTTTGATAAAACTATGAATTTCACAAAGGGAATAATAGGCCTAACAATTTTACCTCTAGCTTCTCCTTCAAATGCTTTTCATGTTGGAGATAATTACAGCAAGAAAAGTGTAATTACACATGCAGATATGGTTCGCTCAGATTCTACGAATAAACTAAAAACACAGCAAGAACTACTTACTGAAGGCTGGAATATACCATGGTTGATGTATTTACAAATAGTCAGATGGATATAATCAGATCTCAAGAAGGAAGAAGGGACATTAAGAAAAAAAACCCAGAATTTGAAACACTAATACAAAACCAACACCACCTATTAGGGCGTATATCGTATAAATTTTTATTAAATATGACACATAGACAGAACAAACAAAAAATTGTATGACAAAATGGATGCAAAACTTTAAAGAAACAGTTACAATACAACAGTGGGAAGAATTATGGACTACATCTATAAAACTCACACCAAGTTATAACCTAAAGGAAAATTGGTACATAATGTTTTACAGATGGCATACAACTCCATCAATAATATCTAAGATAGACAGATCATACAGTAACAAATGTTGGAAATGTCATGAAACAGAAGAAATGTTTCATGACATATGGTAGACACCCCAAAGTAGTGGAAAGTCATACATAGTATAATGAAGAAAAAAATTAAATTCAAAATGAAATCACAACTTTTCTTACTAGGTATAAACTCAGAAAAAATCAACAAGAAACATCATAATTTAATGATATGTATGCTTACAGCACCAAGAATAAATTTTGCTCAACACTGGAAGAAAGACACAATTCCAAAAATATCTGATTTGGAACTTAAACTTGGAGAATAGGTAGCAAAGGCAAGACTAGCAGTATATATACATAACAGAAGTTTAACTAAATTTAAGCAAGAGTGGTTCCCATACATAAAACACATCACGCAGCATGGGGCGTTTAGCATGCAGAGTTTGGGGGCTGCCTGAAAAACCTTTGTGCTGAAATCCAAACAGG